TTTGCCACTTCTATTCAGTCTTGCACTGGCAGCTGTAGTCTATGCAGTAACAGAAGAAAAAGAAAGGAAAGGCATAACTACATAGTAAACAATGTAACTTTGCCCCCAAAGAGGACTGGCCTTTGTCCTCAGCTTCTGAGAGGTAACCTCTAAGCTCTCAAAATTTCATGCTCCACAGGAAAGAGTATCTTTGTTTTCCTGGGGTGGGTGGTGTAAAGCTTAGGTCACACTGGATATTCTAACAATATAAGTAGGGTGGGAGTTGCTCACACCAGAAAGACCAACAGTGTGATTCAGGATGGGATGTTTGGTCACATCATCTCAGTCAGCCTGGAGACTAAGCTCGATTAAGTAGTCATTCAGTCAATCAGGCCTTATGGAGCCTACTCCTCCTCAAAAACATAAATAAATAAATAAAAATAAAAATTGAACAAGGAGTGAGTTTCTCTGGGAACAGCAAACTATTACACATCAATATCAAGAAAGTAACCTATCCTGAACCTACAAAAGAAAACAATGAAAGACCTGTGTTTGATACTTTCCCAGACTCCAATTTATGCATTTCTGCCCTGATTGATTTTAATCTGTATCTTCTTCCTGTAATAAATTATACCCATGGGTATAATAGCTTTCAGAGTTTGATGCGTCTTTCTATATGAATTATTGAACCTGAGGGTGGATTTGGGAACTGCCCCAGTCTGTAGTTGGTGTCAGAAGCAAGGGTGATCTCTTGTAGGGACTGTTTCCTCTAATTTCATAGTTGGTTAAACTTTTGAACGTACAGATTAGAAAGGAATAAACACAACTGTCTTTACTCACAGATAACATGATCATTTGTTAGAAAATTCTGCTACTAAATTTGTAAGTGAGTTTACCAAGTTCTCAGGATACACTACTGCATGTCAAGATTTGTGGTATATATATATACATGTAGCTCAGTGGAATAGAGAAAGAGGTACAGAAATAGACCCTCACAGATTGACAATTGATTTTTCAACAAAGGTGCTAAGTAATTCAATGTGGAAAGGATCGTTTTTTGAACAAAGGCACAGCAACAACTAGATATTCATATACAAAAAGTTAACATTGGCCTTTACCTTATACCAAATACAAAAATTAACTTAAAATAATTATAGACCAAAATATAAAACTATAAAACTTGTAGAACAAAACATAGAAGAAAATCTTGTGGCTCTGGATCAAGTGAAGATAGTTTTTAGACAGGACACAAAGACCACAATCTATAAAATAAAAGTTGGATTTCATCAAAATTAAAAACTTTTTGCTCTTTGAACATCACTTGTTTAAAAAAAAAAAAGGCCAACCATAAACTGGGAGAAAATATTTGCAGAACACTTATCTAATAAATGATTTTCTATCCAGAATGTGTAAGGAACTTTTTACACCTTGATAATAGGACAGACAACTCAATAAGTGGGCAAAATTTTTAAGACACACTTTATCAAAAAAGGGATACTGATGGCAAATAAGCAGAGAAGAGATGTTCAATATCACTAGTCATGAGAAAATGCTAATTAAAAGCTCAGTGAGATGCTTCTCACTGACACACTTACCAGAATGCCTAAAAACAAACAAATAAATCTCCAGCACATGCTGGCAAGCATGCAGCACAGCTGGGAGTCTCATGCTTTTGCTGGTGGGAATGCAAAATGGAAATGGTACAGCCACTTGGAAAAACAGTGCAGCAGTTTCTTATAAAGCTAAACATGCACTGGCCATACAACTCAGTAACTCCATTTGTGAAAACCAATGTCCTAACAAAGATCTGTATGTGAATGCCTATAACAGACTTATTATTAATGGCCCCAAACTGGAAAACAACCCAAGTTCACCAAGTCATGAGTGGATTAACAATTCATGGGGTACCCATACAGCAGAATACTTCTTAGCAAATTAAAAAAAAAATCCAGATACATGTAAGAACCTGGATTTTTCAAAAGCATTATGCTAAGTGAAAGAAGCCAGACTCAAAAGGTTACATTCTGTTTGAGTATATTTATGGTTTTCTGGAAATAGAGTGACAGAAAAGAGATCAAGGTTGCCAGAGCCTGGGAGAGGGGGCAGGATGGATGAAAAAGCACATGAAGAAACTATTTGGGATGAAGGAACTGTTTTATATTGAATGTTCTTGTGGTGTCATAACTCTTCAAGCTGGACACCTAAAAAAGGGTGAGTTTTCCTTTATATAATTTACACTTCAATAAACATGACTTTAAAAAAAAACCCAAACCCCATAGACTATGAGGAGATTTTTGCAATATGTGTAACTGATAAAGGATTAGTGTCTGAACTCTAGAATATGAAAGAATTCTTATGAACTAACAAGAAAAAGCCATCTCTTAGTAGAAATACATACCAAAGAATGAGCAGAAATTTCCCTGAATAGGAAGAATTTTAAAAAAATTTAAGAAGACATAAAAAAGCTGCTTAATTGCATTTAGGAATCAAGGAATAGCCAATTAAACTTTCAGATGCTATCTCTTATCCAGCAGATTGGCTCAAAATTAAAAACTAGACCATTTTGAAAGTTTGTTAATAATGTGGAGCAATGGAGACTTTCATCCACTTCTTGTGGGGCTGGAATTTGGTATAAGTATTTTGAAAAAGTTTGGTAATATTTAGTGAAGTTAAATAATGTATATGCTCTCATCTTAAAATCCCACCTCTAAGTGTATACCCTTCAGGCCTTCTGCCACACGTGTACCAGGAGATATGTGTAAGAAAGTTTATAAAAAATAATTTTCATCAAGAGTGGAATGGATAAGACTTATATAGATAAAATATACAGATGGCCAACAGGCACATAAAAGATACTCAATGTCACTAATTACCAGAGAAATGCAAAACTACAATGAGGTATCACTTCACATTGGTTAGAATGGCCATCATTAAAAAGTCCAAAAATGATAGAGAGGGTGTGGAGAAAGAGGGTCCCCTCCTACACTGTTGGTGGGAATATAAATTGGTGCACCCACTGTGGAGAACAGTTTGGAGGTTCCTTAAAAAACTAAACTAAAAATAGAGTTAACATACGATCCAGCAATCATACTCCTGGGCATATATCTGGAGGAATCTCCAGTTCAAAAAGATACATGCACCCCAGTGTTCACAGCAGCACTATTTACAATAACCAAGACATGGAAGCAGCCTAAATGTCCATCAACAGATGACTAGATAAAGAAGATATGGGGGGTTTATGTGTGTGTATATATATATGGAATATTGGAATATATAATATGGAATATTACTCAGCCATAAAAAGGAAATAATGCCATTTGTAGCAACAAGAATGGACCTAGAGATTATCACATTAAGTGACGTTAATCAGAGAAAGACAAATACCATATGATAACACTTATATGTGGAATCTAAAAAAATGGCACAAATGAACATATTTACAAAACAGGATAAGACTCATAGACATAGAAAACAAACTTATGGTTACCAAAGGGAAGGAGTGTGGAGGGATAAATTAGGAGTTTGTGATTAACATACACATACTCCTGTATATTAAACAGATAAACAATAAGGTCCTACTGTATAGAATAGGGAACTATATTCAATAGCTTGTGACAACCTATACTAAGAGAGAATATGGAAAAGAATACATATATATGTATAACTGAATTACTATGCTGTACACCAGAAACTAATACAACATTGTAAATCAACTATACTTCAAAAAAAAAAAACAGAGTAGAATTGATAAATAAGTCATGGTATAGCTTTGCAATGTTATATTCTTCTGCAGTTAAAATGAATGAACTATAGGCACATGGATAAAGTGAATGAAAGTCAAAAATATTCATTTAAATTAAAAAAAATTACAGAAGCATACACACAATTTGTGCAGATGAGGCTGTATCTCATAGGCTGAATTGCATGATCATTTTATAGCCATGCACCTGGAGACAAGTTCCCTCTTTACATTCTAGCTCCCCACTTCCTAGCTGTGTAGCCTTCAACTCCTTGCACCCAAATTCCCTCACGTGTACAGCAAGGATGCTAGTACACATTAAGATGTGCTAACATGCTGGGGTGGCACATGAAAGTATCAATAAATGTTAAGCATTATTATTATTCCTTAACCAACTAGGTGGAATCTCAGTGGTGCCAGGATGGCAGGCAGGACCTTCCCACTCCCCTACCTCACACTGCCATTTTGAGCCCAGCAGGGCAGCGGGAAGAGAACACATAATGACAAGGGCTCCAAGTGCAGAAATCTGCAGTTGCCATTATGGAAGAGTGTGACCCACTCAAGACCTATGGAAAAGAAAAGGGAACTGGGATTTCTGGACTATTCGGCCTAGATGACATTTGTAGCCAAGTCCTTGATTGTTCTGATGAAATGAGAATTATAAAATCAATGAAGTCCACACTTGGTGCAAAGTAAGAAGTACATGCAGTTCATTTCTGATTTATTTCCCCGCTCTAGGCACTGATTTCCCAGATGGTGTTTATTCCAGCCTTTTACTTGACCACTTTCTTCCTGTCTCTCCATTGATTGCTTATTGGCAGCTTCTTCAAAGAACAAGACAGAAGGAAAAAAGACTCAAAGTGTAGATCCCATCAACCTTCATATCTAAGAGTTAGCCATTTCTTCAACTCCAGATGTGGTATGGTGAGGCTGAATTTTCATTATGCCAAAATAATTACTGGGGAATTGAGACTTCAAGGCAATCACATGGTTGGCTGTTTTATTGGGCTCTTATAGTTTGACTACTGAACTATCAGTTTGGGGAATCACGTGATCTCTTATCCTGATGGCCTTACAGTTAAATATCATACAGGGCTTACTCTATTTTACAATGGAAAGCTAATCGTGGGTTAAAAAGAATGAAAATTTATAACCAAAGGGAGTAGTGATCTCTAATGTATTAGGATAATTTCATATAGTTTTTACTAGTATTTTATCATAACTCGTATACAGAAAGCTAACATTATAGTGTAGCTACTACAATGCCTTGTTTAGTACTTACCCTCTTATTTCTACTTGAGCTACAGCAGTGATGTTGATCTGCAGACTCACAAAATTGCTGTCTGGGTTGTCCTTGTTGGAACTAAAACAGTAACACATAATTTAAACATATTTTCTCAGACATGTTATTGTGATAGTCGATCATATAAAACCTTCTATATATATTACAGGAGCAACATGCATTACCAGCATGATCATTCAGAAAACAAAGGCATATCCAGTCTACAAAATCATAACCATTATGCATGGAAATGCTAAGATCCTCTATGATCAAAAGTAATGTAATAACTTTCCATGAGGAGACACCTTATCTGAAAACGCAACAGATTTCTAGAGAAGCCAGCATTTCTTTGTTTCAAGGGCTAAGCCCAAAAGGCAGTGAGCTGAGTTCATATTCCAGCTTCTACCTGGGACACATTCCTTAACTTCTCTGTGCATCATACTTAGTGTCCATCAAATGGGAAAGGACAGCACAGTCGACTCCTGATTTCCCATGCTAATAGAAGGAAAATGGGCATGAATGATCCAAGAGCAGCACCTCATGGAAAAAGCATTTGACTCTGGAACGCATCATACCATACATTGTTTTGGCAGCAAATTTATCTTCCTTCCTTATGGTTTATTTCTTAAGTAATATTAAAAGAAGTGCACTGCATACCCTCTGGTTGACTAGGGTGAGGGGTGAAGAGTGGATGAGAAGCCTGGCCAATGACGAGAGGAAGCAAGACTCTGGGAAGTTGGGCACTTCATACAAAGGCAATTAGGAGATGACAGAGATCCCCGTAAAGTACATCGAGTCTCAAAATGGAAGATGCATGTTTAACAGCATTTCTTTGAACAGTAGCAAAATTATTTTTAAGTTTGCTGTTTCTTTCTTTCAAGCAAATATAAGTAGATATGAAATGTAACTTTTAAAAAGTGCACGCATTAAGCAACCAGTGCTGTAAGGAAAATGAAATGTGGTCTCTCTCGCAAGAGGTTGGACCAGTAGCCGGGCTTTGGATACAGCTGCCATTTGCATATTTTTGTCTTACTGGGCTGTCATTGAAGTCACCCTACTGTTCCAAAGAATCCTGCCGCTTTTAGCAAACCGAGACATGACACCACTGCTAGCAGTTCATGTTTATATTCAGGTCTCATTAAGAAGAGAAAGCCTTCTCTTTTTTCATCACTGAATCACGCAGATGCCATGGACAGGCTCTCACCCTGGGATGATCATAATGGGGTATGTATGTTCTGACTAGCTTTTGAAGCTTTCCAAATGTGGGAGCTAGAAAAGATACGATAAAAGTCTGCTTTCAAAAGAGGAAGAGACAAAATTGCTCCCACAATGCTTTTGAAAAGTTTTGTTCGATTGTATATACTGATAAGGCAACTTAAGTGGCAAACACACATAAAAGATATAAACAGACAAATGTCAGGCTCATTTCCTGTAAAGGGGTATCACCGCTAAGCTTGTGATGAGCCTAGAGGGACTTGTTCACCAAAGTTTGAACTCCAGTTTCCAGGCCACTTTATTATTATCACATCTGGGGAGGATCAGTCAACTAAAAAGGTTTGTTTTTTTTTTTAAGGAAGGATTCTGACTTACTAACCACTAAGAAGTCATTAAGAAATTCCACTTGTGGCAGACTCTGTGGTTCCAAGTGCATTACAAAGAACTCTTTAGCTTAAAATCTCATTGTTTGACATTTACCCAGACCTTGTTCTAATTTCTAGGTCACTGCTGCTTTGCAATAGAAATTAGAATTATGGAAAAAACATTCATTTAAGTTAGCCCATCATTCTGTTGCATTTGCTTCCAAGTGGTTTCAATAATACAGTTTTCATTACAACACTCTGAAAATATAAACAGACGTCGAGCATAGACATCATCTTGGGACAGGAGTCTAATAGGCTTACAGAGGTTGTATTGAAAAGTAGCAAAAGCAGTGCAGAATCAGAGGCTGGACCTGGATGGTGACCTAAAATCATCCTCTGTCACACAGGCTTGCCTTGACAGGTGGGACTGCAAGCCGTGGTATTAGCAAAATCTCCTGGTAAGGAAGGCACCAGGCTGGATATAGATGTAAGTATAGATCCTTCTACCGATCCCGCCTTTCCTGGAAGGAAACCTCCCTCACTAACACCACTGCTGCATTCAAACAAGCAATTCATCACCACCCTGGGTGCTGAGCTCTCTATACACAGGGAATGATGAATTTCCCCTCCACAGCTGTAGCCTATGTCCTGTATCAAGGATAACCATGTTTTTCACTTATTCTCATGCTAGTTTCTTTTCCTTTGTTGTCTCCAATGTTTTTTTATTTTCTAACACTCCCTCTACGCTTTCTGCAGTCTCTGGAGTGTTGGCAGAACAATACAATGTTGCCTCCACCATTACTGAGGAAGCAACTTCAAGGATGGTCCTAAAGATCTGTTTGTGCATGGGAATTGCAAACCGAGACTCGCTCTAAACAGGAAGATATTTACACGTCACATAGAGCCAGGGCACAGAGAGACCAGTTAATGCAAACATTTGGTGACATGAAATATTTTAAGCTTATTAATTTACAAAACCCTTTTCTCTTTTGGGTTCCGTTTGTGGGAAAGGGTGTTGTTAAATGTGGGTATTGGTGGTCAATGTGGTCAGAAACTTGAATTCAGATTCAGACCATTTGGTTTATTTTTGGTTTAGACACATTTTAACTGAATACAAACCATCCATTAAACAGTATTTACGTCTTTGGAGTCAGCCAGCAGAGCATGCAGATAAATGTCCGCCTCTTAAATACCTTAGTATTTGAATCTTGAAGGTATTCTCAAACTCTTTTATCTCTATAATGCATGTTTTTGGAATTGATGCTTTGGTATGCTGCTGTTGCCTCTCTAGTTTTTTCTGCTCTTCTGCATTTTTTAATTTTTCAGGATAATGTTAAAATAGTCATGAGTTTCTATAAGTGTATAGAATATAATCAGGGACCATTCTTTTAGATGAAGGAGGATATTCAAAATGGACCACTTCTGTCTTCCAACAAATTCATCACTTCATTGCTGAATTCATTATTTGACTGATGATCTATAGACGGACTTGGGGAAAGCATTTACAACATTATAGATAGTATCCTTTGTTCCTTGATTGTACTACTAGTTACATCCATTCTATTATCCGAAACTGCAGTCAAGAGGAGGAGGCAAACATCAGGAATTTGTTTTGCATCTCTGTACCAGACTAGCTAGCTAAAGGCCTCATCTTTATGAGAGAGGCATCTTTTTCTGAAGTGCTACAAAGCTTCACGCTACTGCAGGATCAATGTCACAGATAATAATGGTGAGAAATAGACACTGTAGACTACCATCTGGAGTGATGAGGGTCCTTCACTTTTTCCTTTTTCTTTTTTTCCCCTAAAACTTAGTCAGATAAACAGGAGATTCTCCAGATAAAAATAAACAGGACTACCTGAACCTTCTGCAAAATATGTATTTATGTGAATACAAAGAAATGATTTAATAAGCTTTTGGTTACATGAAGGGATATCAAATAATTCACTTCATCTCCATCCCATCATTCATTTCGGCAAAATTTTTAAAATCTCAAGATTCAGCAGAAAATATTTGAGTTAAATTCAAAAAGGACCTAATTAAGGTCAGAAAAGGGCACCAAAGGGAAGCTAGAAATCTACCGTAAAGCTTCCTTCCTAGAAATCTATCACAAAAGCTTGGAGGATGTGGTTTGTGACACAGATTACAGATTTTAAACATCTGCTACATTCACCTAGAGATTAGTTACCTTGCATATCAGTATTTGAGAACCAAATTGTAGGTACTGATTTCAGAGTCATTTTTAAATTAAAGTAAGGGTTGAACACACTGAGCATGTGTCTACATCAGTGTTTTTCAAACTTTGAAAATTGCAGACACACACAATATATATATCCCACACAATGCCTTACTGCACGCATTTACATTTGTCTGAAAGGAAGTTTTCATGAACTCTGATGTAGTCCATTCAATTTCCTTTGCTTTTAATACGAGTCTGGAGCCATCACACTGATTCCATTATTGGCCAATGGGTTGAAGTTCACAGTTGGGAATCCCTGGCCCTCATGACACATTGCTCTCTCCGGGTCTTTCAACTCATGAAATACTACTTTCAGCCATGAAAGAGCAAACAGAATAGACAGAGACGAGGTAAAGTCATACTTGAATCTCAGAGCAGGATCAGCCTTAGAAAGAGGAGCAACTCCCTACAGGGTTTGGCTTATAGTTCTCAGAGAAGGCTCTGCCATCTGAACATCTGATCTCATATGCGTCCTGTCTTGGCGCTCACCATGAAACCATCAGGGACTCATTCATTTTTGAAAAGATAGATTTCCAGATCACAAGTGCAAAATCTATACTTTTTTTTTTTTGGCAGAAACTTTGTTCTCAGGAATTAGTTGACTCCCAGCTAAGAGGATGGCTGGCAGGGGTGTGGTAAGGGTGCTGGTAGGGGTGGGAAAAGGCACGTGCGTCACAAAGAGGAAAAATGGAAGGTACCCAGGACAAAATTTTACTATCAACAGCATGGCCTGCAGAATGGATCTCTTTCAAAAGTGGAAAAAAATGGGGAAAAATAAAACTGAAATAAATGAGAAACAAAGGAAAAAATGGTGAGTGAATATCTGGGTTCTAATTTCAGAACTTTTAAGGTGAAGAAGCTGGATGAGGGACATTCATTTCACCATGGATCTTTTTAATATTGAACAATGATGATATTTTAGGCACATAAAGTTCTAACCTTCTGATTTGGAGATCGAAGCTAATGCTCATGTTTGTTTTCTCAAGGCGTGGAACTGCAAATCGGAGGCCCAGAGAAGACTAAAAAAAAAAAAAAAATCACAAGACACTAAGTTTATTACGTGAGAGGGACCTTATTATACACAGCATAAAAACCATTTTAAATTATCCTTGCAAATCCCCACCCTAGATCCATGTCCTTTTCTCTGCTTATGCCCTAGGGTAGTTGAGACCTCAGGCAATTCGAGTTCCTACACATTGTGGTTCCTGATCTTTGTTTAGTCTCATAGCAACTCTTTTCCTGCCCTCTTTTTTATGCACTAAATGAAAAACAACCTAAATATACGAGAGGAGATTGATTTAGGAAACTATGATGCTTCCAGTTGATGGATATTTATGTCATCACTGGGGTTACATCTGTGAAGCCTATGCAATGTGGAAAGTGTTTCCAATGTAATGGTGATCAATAAAGAGAAAAGCTTACAAAGTTGGATGTGCCCTGTGTTTCAGCTATAGTTTTAAAAGGCTGTCAATGGAAAACTTAATGTATAGGAGTGAGAATGTCTTGTTAGAAAATATACCAGGATAATTTGCTACAGTTATATTAAAGTTGTGAGTGTATGGATTATTTTTCTACCTTCCTTTCTTTCCAAAGTTTTAAAGTAGGTCTTATTCATTTTATAGTTTGAAAACAGATTTCCCCAGAAAACCTGAAGAAAAATGAATCCAATGATAATATAAATAAGGAAGCAAAAATAATAGCTAAAACATATAATTCTATTACTTACTCTCCCATGCAAGGCACGAAGCCTGATGTGCAATGTCTCACATAATCACAGCAGCCACACTACGAGGTAGACCCTGTGATTGCCGACATTGTTTGGTCCAGCAGCAATCTGAGGATTAGGGAGATTAAGAGTCTTGCTCCAGGTGCAGCACAAATAAACTCTAGAGTTGGAATTGAAATCCCTACAAGCCAACTCCAGAACCTGAGACTCACAGCCACACATTATGAGAATCAAACTAGTAATAAAATCTCATGTTATTGCAAACCAGCAATCACAGGAATTAATTATAAATCATCATTTTTATCATAAGTCATCATCATTTCACTAGCCCTTACCAAATGAGCTACAGGTCAGCTACTGCTCTGATGGCTTTACACTTACTGCATTGCTCCAAACATTCTTACAAATAGGTATTCTCCCATTTCAACGTGATTTGCCCAAGGTATCACTGCTGATAAGTGGCAAAACTGTGGTTTAAATCCAGGTGTGCCTAATTACTAAGCCTGTGCATCCTAGTGCCCCAGCCAGGGTGGATTCCTTTGTAATTCTAAACGTACAGTTTTCTGTCAGACCTCTGGGGCTTTGCACATGGTCTTCTCTCTTCTTCAGAAACATTTTAAGCTTTTTTTCTGCTTTTATTACTTAGCTAACTCCTACTCGTGCTTCAGAGCTCAGGACAAGCGATCCTCCTGTTACACATCTTCTGATCCCACAAGCCACATTAGGCAGAAATGTTCTCTTTATTCCCTGTCTCCTCCTACTCTCTCATGACTCAACCTATGACATTGCCAAATTTTAAGTTCCTTATGGAATGAGGGTTGTATATTTCCACCTTGATATTATCAGACTCTAGTACCAGGCCTATTGAAGGGGTTGAAAGAATGGTGAAAAAGAGTGCACCCTTGTTTGCACCCTTCCAGTGATGGGAGCTTACTATTCTGTGATAAGGCCTGCCTAATGCTGGTCTTTCATTACGCAGCAGGAGATGAAGATACAATGAAGGTGTGACAGTTTCACGCTGGCAAGAGACACATATTTTCTTAACTAAAACCAAATGCCAGATCTCTGGACACTGATTCTAAAAAGCCTTTGTTGACCCACTGTTCTTTCATTATCTTACTTGAGAGACTTTGTGAGTTTTTATGGATCTTATGGGCACATAAATATTTTATATTACTAAAGCTGTTATATGAAAATGACATTACTACTTACAAATCGGAAGTAAAATTTCTGAATACAGCCTTGACTGTTTTGTTAAAATAGTCACTTGAAAACATTTTTTTTTAAAATACTGAGACTAAAATAATTATTCCTGGCAATTTATGATGCTTTTTAATATTTAGGACTGCATTTACATTTGGAATTTTACTACAACCCACTGAGAGAATTCTTTTAAAAGTACAAAATGAAGACATAAATAAATCAAAGTGTTTTATAACAAAACAGAATGCAATAAAATTTGATGTCTTTAAGGGCATTCAAGGGTGAGATAAGAAAGCTATTAGGTTTCTTCTAGTATAGACCTCAGAGATAAACGAATACAAACAATTTACTTCCTTGACTTCTAAAGATTATTTGCTGGTAAAATGGACTGACATCTTCTAACAAAACGTATTTGTGGCTAAGACCACACTGCCATTTTTACCCCCCGCTTTGAATGACACTGGAGCCCAGTTTTCCTTCCAAGATTTATCCGTAAGTATTGATGATCTTAGATGCTCTCTGGTCTGGATTTATCACTTTTAATACTGAAAAAGGAGTGAATGCCCGGTCACCTATAGATGTTAACACCATTACCACCATGTCAGTTCACTTGTCTCTGGCCCTAGGGAGACTTCCTATCAAATTGGGTTGTTAGATTTTTCTTTAAAACTAGCCAAAGGATTTATTGGTTTCTAGATAAAAGGATTCTGATGAAAAATGTTCTAATGTCTCCACTTAAGCATTCCATTCACTCTTTCATGCCTTCATGGAAAAAAAGCCCTCATCTGTTTCATTAGTTTTTATCCAGTTTTGCAGACCTGGTAGGATGTGGGCTTTTTGTTGAGGCTTGGTTCAAATCCTGGTTCTGTTCTTCATTGTGTGTGACTTTGGGTAATGCATTTGATTTCTCTGAGTCTCAGTTTCCTTATTCATAACACAGGAGAAATACTTGACTCACAGGATTGTTGGTTATTGTGAAAATAAGGTAACACACACAAAAGCATCCAATGATGGGTTTATAACACACAGGGCAATCAACGGATGTTAGCTAACACTGGGCTAGAAGGTTTACTTATGCAGGAGTTCTCAGCACCTTTAAAATGCAAATGTGCACCAGAAAACTTCCAGAGGAGGATATAATTCTCACCAGTGACTACAGAACTCCCTTTTAAAGGCTCATCTCAAAGGATTAGCACATTGATAACCAAGTCTGGGTAACAGTCATGTTTCCTCAGGGGCACCCAATCCACAGTGGGCAATCAACCTGTTAAAACTTTTTGGAAGACACTGTGAGAAGCTGATCTAATAGAAATCTATACACATATATTTTCATAAATGTTTTTTCAAACAGGCCATTTCACTGATAATCATAAACATTTAATGTAAAACAGGAATATGTATATTTAATTTATAACATTTAATTATGTAGTATTTGCAGATTTCAGGATCTTTTTCTGATTTATGACTTTATAAAATAATGATTTCCACTGTGATAATACTAGAAGAAGTCACTATGTGTATACTTAAACTGCAGTTGCATAAAATGAATTTATTGCCCACAAGGAAGCCTGAATGGGAAGTTCCTAAGTCTGGAAACAAAGACAGAAGAAGAAGAAGACTCCTCGTTCTTTCATAAGCATATTTCAGACCATTATCAACCCTTTTTTCTTGCTACAAACAATTTTCTGCACTGTTCTTTACCAAATAAGATGTGTGGAGGATACAGACCTGGTAAAACTGATTTAAAATCTGAATTATGATAATATTTTAACATGAAAATATTGTGAATGATAGTCATATGGGAGGTATATCTCATATAAAAGTTGAATAATCTTTGCTAAAATTCTTAAATTGTGTTATTTCTTAAATCCTTTATATTGTAGTTCTTCTTGAATTCAAAGAGAAAAAAATTGTAGTGAAATTCAAAAGAAAATATATTCAAGAAAAAAATCTGTAGTAAAAAAAAAATAGCTTTTAGAGATTCGTTGAGATTAAAAGACATGTGAGGGTAATGCCAAGAGAGAAGGCTTGTGAAAGTATTCATCATTTTGTGTTTTTTAACCTCAAATTATCCACTCAGTGTCGGTTATGATGCAAAATCTCACTACCCTGGTAATTTCCTGCTTAATTGGCTTTAGCTGCTAGGTGCTACGTTGCTGAGCGCTAACTGGGCGGCTTTCCACCAGTTCACTTTAAAATTCAATTAGACAGAAATCAGTTAAGGGCTTCTGGTTTTCTCTTACATTTGTTCCGGCCACCATAGGGTTCCCAAGGTCACACACCACCATTCGGGTTACATTCTCCATCTTGTATTCACAGCTTAGAGGTCGTGATCCCTGCAACAGGGAAGAACACCAACGTGGAGGTCAGGGGGCAGAATAAATAGCATCCTGTCACAAAAGCAACGCTGCGGGCCGAGAACCTTCTCTTGATTTCTAGCACCTGTGTGAGTGACTGTGCCCGTGACTTAATTTGTGACCATCAACTCAGAAGAGAAACTTGTGAGAGAAGACCAAAGTTTAATTTTTAAGAAGAAATGTGTTGGATTGGTAAACCCATTTATTATGTTTCACTGAGGAAGAAAATGCTTAGTATAGTAGTTCTACAAATATTTTTGAGATTATTTGCACTATTGTTCATGCTAAATTTGGCCCATGAAGATCATGGATGATTAAACATGGACTAAAATTAATTCTTGCAAAAATGAAATGACAGCAAGATGTATGGATTATCATCTGACCCACTGAGGCCATTTGCAAAAGAATTGGTTTGAACACAGATTTCTCCACACCATGATTCCATTTTGAGATTACACACCCAATCTTAACTTCCGTCCTCTAAATACTTCAGATGGGAAGAGAACACTCGTGCATTTAACCATTGCTTTTCATATCCCTTCTTCCCCCGTATCCTATTCTGATTAGAATGATAAAAACTCAAATTTGAAGAGGTGCTGAGAACTATGTGCTAGAGAAGGTCTCAAGGTTATGTTCAACAAGAAAGGAAAGTAAAGGAAGTTTATGTTTGGACTCTTGTCCTCCGCTCACAGCTTCCTCCTGTGTCTTCTGGCTACCCTCAGCTGCCTAGAAATCCACACCTGGATCTCCATCCTGAGCCCCGTCCCATATTTCAAAACCTGATGTTCCTATGACCCTGCTCTTGCCTTTGGTGATAGCTACATATGTTCCTCCATTATTTCACTCTAACTTGTTAAGTGCTACTGATATATTACCTGTCAGCCTCATTTGCAAAGATAAGCTTGTGACGATGGAAAGACTTTCACAAAGGACCCCACGAGAGATCCATGGAAGAGGGTTCCAAATACGAGGACCATTTATCCATCTGTCAGTGCTAATGAAATTTCATTTAAAGGCAGTACTGCAAATTTCAAGTAAAACTTTCAGAAACCACCCTCCTTTCCATCCTTTCCACTTTGTTGAGAAAAACCAACAGCCAAAGTCAAAACAAAGACCAGGCAAACGAACCCCAGACAACCAGGTAAAAAATTCTGTGGGTAAATCACATGCTTTAAGAATAAGCTTAAGGAGGCAGGACTTTTGGGTATCTGTTCTATTTCTGCTGCCTAGAGTAGATGGTGGCAGGAAATACAGAGCAGAGGTAGCTTACAATCCTTCCTCAGAGGAGGCTGAAATGAAATGGACAGGCACACAGCTGAGTTGAAGTCCTCTTCCTACCATCAGCCATTGGAAGGTCTATTCCAACTAATGAGAAAGAAGAGAATCACTGATATTTGGAGGCAGCATTTAATATCTGCTCTTTCCAAATAATCTGAGTGACTTCTTAGTATCCCGAGAAGGTAAGAAACATATTTTTAAAAGGCTGGTAATACTCTCACTTCCCAGAAGTTGCCTTCAGTTCTTAATGTATTTAAGTTCTTAAGGATCCATAACTAACTCTAATCGTACAGAGATGTTTTGAGTTGGGATTATTAACTCAATCCTGAAAACAGAAAAAAAACCCAAACCAAAACAAAAACAACAAATGCTTTCCAAAAAGCCCATGTGTCCTATGAATATAATTCAAGAATTTTGTTTCTATAGTAAATATTTTTATCTTATCTGAAGGTTGAAAGTCATGTGCACATTTTTTCTGGCTTTCTAGAAATAGCTTTTTCACATCAATCAATTTTTTTCTGTCCCCAGATTCCCCCACCCTTTTTCTTTTTTTAACCTTTATTTCCTCTGAGTGGGAGAAACAATGATTGCTTTTCTAGATATTTCTAGATTATTTTCCTCAGCTATTCCAGAGACTGTCTTTTTTCCCATCCATTTATAACTCTTAGAGTATTATCCATTCACTGAAAATATTTACTGTGTACCTGCTATTTACGAGGCCCAGAAAGAAAAGATCCCTTGTCCTCTTTGAATTTCCGCTTACTATAGCAATTGTAATACGTAATCCAAGCGATGGTAGCAAGCAATGGAAACACGCAACTCGAACAGTTTCTTAACTTTCATGAGAGGAGAAATTCACGGTGATGGACGAGGATACACACATAGATACAAGCAATCAGAGAAGACATCTTGGAGGAAGTGACATCTAGGCTGAAGGGGGGCCGGGCAGGTCAGTGGTTAAGAAGACAAGCCTGGACCCAACAGCTGGAGTGTCAGCCTTGGTTCTGCCATGTGACACTATGTAACTTTGAGCATGTTTCTGAATCTTTTTATCTATAAAATGGGGATAGTGGTAGACTTGCCATTTCTCCATTATGAGGATTAAGTAAATTAAATACTTGCAAGAGCTCAGAGCAGAGCCCAGCTCATAGCAATTGCTCATCAAATATCAGCAGTCTTCAATCATTATTAGGCTGAGGCCTGAAGGGTGAGCAGAAAGAGGCAAGCTGGATAAACGGTGTGCGAGAGTAGAGTTACAGAAGGACAGCAGGTGCGAGCTCTCTGTGGCGAGAAAATGTACGGGCATTACAGAACCTGAGAAGAAATCCCATCCCTCTGGAATTCAGCTGTGGGGTAAAAGAAAGACTCCAAGACTCATGGTGAGGCTGAAGAAGTTAGCCAGGGTGATATAATGAAGGAACTCTTAGGTCATATCAAGGATTTGGACTTTATCCTACGATGGGGAGCTAGTGAGGTTAAGTTTTAAGCAAGAGAGCGACAGGGTCAGATTTGCAGTTTAGAAAGATGGCTTCCCGGGCAGGAAAGGGACTGGAGACAGGCAGACGGGGAGATGAATTAGCAGACGGTTGTAGTTGTCTCGGGAGAAGATCACGCCAGCCTGGGTGAAAGCAGTGACTCTGACAGTTAGATGGAGAGAGGATACAGATTGGAGAGGTACAGGACTGACTGAGGCTTCAGAAACAAAATGGAAATGGGTACCCTTCTGTGAGATAGGATGTGGGTAGAAGGAGGAGTGTGGGAAGATGAAGCCTAGTTCTGGACACACTGAGTATGAGGTGGGTTGAGACAGAGGAGTGGAGTGTATATGAAGTCCTTAGAATAGACACATTCAGAGACAGAAAGTAGAACGCTGGGTACTAGAGGCTGGGAAGAGGGGTTAATAGTACATTGGTGTTTAATGGGTACAGAGTTTCAGTCTGCAATGTTGAAAATCTGGTGATGGATGGTATTGATAGCTGCACAACAATGTGATTATACTTAAAGCCACTGGACACTTAAAAGGGTTAAAAGGGTACATTTTATGGTACATATATTTTACAACAATAATAACAAAAAGATAAAGCACACAGGCCTTTATTCCTAGAAAAATTTAGAAGAAAGTTCACTGAAAAGAAGTATGAAGTTTGGCTCTACCACCTTTTCAAAAATGAATGTTTTCAAACAAAGAATAACAAAACCTACCATCAGATAATCCCTAATATTTTCCCCCTTGAGAGAAAAAAAAAAAAACAACTTGAACCATGTATAAATAAAAAGGGACACAAACTTCAAACTGCTGAAAAACAAAGATGAAATTAGAATGTGGCTTAAGTCATATCAAGTTCAAATTCTGCCCGAGGACAACTGATGGCAGAGAAATAGTTAAGGACTCATTTGAGATTATGGATAATGTCTGTTGCAATGTTTAAAGCCAGAGATAGAAATGATAAATGCTTCCTATGTTTTCCATGCAAGGAAGTGAACAGTAAGCTGGATGTTTTGCCAAAAGAAGAACGTTTTGAATAGATACTTTGTTAAACAAAGTCAGGGGTGGAGTGACATAAAGGGAATTGAAATACAAATGTAAGAGGAGCCCTGGGACATTTTTAAAAATAACAGACTTGAGCTTCATTTTTTGTTTGTTTCTGTGTTATTTGCATGTATTTGTAGGTGATAGGTTCCCACAAATCTCTTCAACAGAAACTTGCAATGAGTTTAGGACTGTCCAAGATAGTTGATTATTGCTCCTCTGGGTTTATTTTTTTTTTACTGAGAAGATAATTCAACCAAAACATAAATCACAAGGCTAGAGATGTGAATAGAGGATTCTGCATTCCCCATATTTGCGATGCCTTTAAAATACCAACATCTCAACAGTTCTTAGCATCTCTTTAGAGGAATTATTTCTTATTAAATTATTTAATAATTGGAAAGTTCCCTAGAGTATGAGGTTTCTGGAGAGCAGCAGACATTTAACAAATTTCAGTTAAATGACCACATCCATAAGCAAGAATTTAAATAACGCTCATTGTGCTGACTTCTAAGTGACGTGCCATGATGACTTGTGAAAGTTGTTCCTGCCCTTAACTGTGAGTTTGTACATCTCTGAAACCAAAGGACTCTCTCCGTTATCCTGAAATGTATTTATAATGGTTTTCTAAGAGAACCTGAGGTGATTGTGAGTGGGAGGATTCATATTCTGATAAGGAAAGGAAAGACTATAAAAAGCACTTGTCAGTTTAACGTATAGTGGCATTGCTGGACAGGCAAATGACAAAAACCTGTCTTTTTCTTGGGCCCAGTCCCAAAAAGGTGGGCCAAGAAGAAAGAAAGAAAAAAAAGAAACATGTTTCCTTGCCAGTGCCTGTCTCTGCTGTTTCCAGTGCTCAGCTGGGATTGGTCGGACCTTCCTCTGGAAGTAGTAATGAAAACCAGGTCTCCTGGGACCTGCCTGAAACATAAAGGAACTCAAAACAAAGGCCAAAAGACAGTGAGGCACGGTGGGAGCCAGCTTGGGAACAGAGCTGATGGATCACGTTAGTGAGCTGCTTCTTTCAGACAGCTGTCTTCCTTGCTTTAACTCCCAATCTTTGGCCAGTTTGTCTGCACTGTGGCCAAGAAAGATATGAACACTGCTTAAGATCATCTCCCTTCCTGGGCCATTGCTGCTCTGCTGAACAAAACCAGGTGCCATTTTGTTTTCTCTTATTGAGGAAGAAACCCTCAGCTAAGGTGGCTTGACTTAGCGTAGGCTCGCTTTCAGCAATGTACTTCGCTCCTCCCTCATCCAGATCCTCTGCAGGCATTACCTTGTTGCTGCGTTCAATCCCAACATAATCGGCCTCTTCTGGAATGATCACAAAGAGCTCAGCTTCATAAGCCCCTTCCCCTTCGTTTCTCGCATTGATTGTGAGCATAAGGTGATTTTCATCTCCAATGATGACCTGGTCCTTATCACTAAAAATGTAGTTTAAAAAGAATCATTAAGTGCTATAGGTCTTTGGATGCATGGTTATTTGATTTAAGGACTTCTTGGAAGACATGGACATGCAAGATTGGGACTAAAAGAAGACAGATCATCACGAGGGGGCGATGAGCAGAATGAAAACTATGTCTGGATGGGAAGTGCAGGGAAACTTCCAGGGGTGTGCTGGTAAATGTCTAGCAATCAGTTGCCCAAACTAGTGGTTACCCACGGGGAAGGGAGGGGAGGGGCAATATAAGAGTGGGAGAGTGAGGGGCACAAACTTCTGGGTGTAAGGTAGGCTCAAGGATGTATTGTACAACACGGGGAATATAGTCAATATTTTGTAATACGTGTAAATGGAAAGTAACCTTAAAAATTGTATAAAAATTTAAAAAATAAAGTAACAACCAGTTCTCAAAAACAAAACCAACAAAACCACGATGTGCAGTATTTGCTCATTCCATGAGTATAAATCCCCCTGCTCTGATCACTTTCAAGCTACCAGCATAGTTAACAATCTGCCAGCAGAAGCTCCTGAAAATTGAACAACTGGCTCACAAGGCAGAAGGAGGCAGCTTCAGCAAATCACTGAAAACATCCAATAGGAAGATGAGCAGGGGGAAAAAAGGGAGAGAGATGATTTAGAAAGTAAGAGGGGAAGGCATGTGTAATGCAAAGTGGAAAATGAGGGAAGAAAGAGGCCGACAGAAGATGTCAAATAGCTGAGGATTTATTTTGAGGAAACTGAGTTCACTCTAAACTTCACATTGAACCAGCAACTGGAAATGCCTATCCCACTTTTAGCCCTTAATCAAAGCTGTTGCTTTGGACACTAGCTAAATTGTGATGTTTGGAAACATCTCCTTGCAAGGTTACCAAGAAGATTCCAAACACTGACAGTGAGATAGTGCCTTGGCGGGCCTTGGGGTGGGTGGGGAGGAGCACAGATCTGCATTTTCCATCACAGGATGATTTAGCTCTCAGTCCTGTTCCTTTCTGTAGCATCATGCAGTGTGGTAACCAGTGCAGGACTG